CTCTAATAAACAATTAATGTGTAACCTGCCGAAACCCTGCTGATTGATTTCTGGATGAGTTTTGGCAAGCAACCTTAGCCCTAATACGAAATGCCACATATTCTGCAACAAGTATTTCAAAATCATGCCATTCCATTTTCCATCCTGGCAAGAATGACACACTCAACTTGCCTACTACTACAAATAATTTGAGAGCTTGGATGTAAAGATGAATAAAAATAGGGGGTAATGTAATCAAGATACGATTGTCATTTTCAGCATAATCTGTCAGAATCAAATGTTGATCATGCTCTAAAGACTCCAGAGTATCAGAATATTTGACTGAGAGAATGTTTGATTTCATTGATGGCATTGCTGCAAGACATCGATAAATGATGGCTTCAGCAAGTTCATTGTGTTCAATGACCCATGTTGTGATTGTGTACATATTGTCAACATCTCTTGCCAGATTATTGTGGATTGCATTATAATCCAACAAATCAATACCTTGAAAAAAAATTTCTGTTATTTCATATCTCTTTCCAAAGCAGCATTTCAATAGACACTCAATTGCTCGTGGGAGTCCACCTGTATCACATAACAAAAAATACATCTGTTCTTGCATGCTCCATACATCCAAAGGAAAGCCTTTGCTATTTGCAAAATGTTTCATTATGTCAATTCGTGATTGCATTTTCAGCAGAGAACAATTGACAAATTCAAAAGTGTACATTGTAGGTTCCCTTTGCCGAATTACACTTTGTGGTGCAGTTCCTGAGAGGAAAGGCTGAATGAAGCTTAAGTTGGGATTACCAATCATAAATCTTCCAACATTGTATAATATGCCCTTGAATATACCCTTGGGGTTACCGTTAATATCTTTCTTCATATCAGCTTTCCAGCCCTTAAAGTCAAAGATGGTCTGGAATTCATCGTTGTGTAAAAACAAAAAGAGAAGCTGATTGCCTGTAAGGTCTAGATGCTCACGAATTCCAAGGATCACATTATCAGTATTAAAATATTTTTCCTTGTTGAGTGCTAGAACAGTCTGGCGAAATGTTGGAAATGTCATATTATAATTGTTTTGGATGAAGAAAGCATATGCAATCTGCAGACCAACAAGTATTTCTATTGATAGTCCACTATCACTTCCATCCAATTGAACAATATTGCTGAAGTCAAGGAAAATATATTGAAATGAAATTGATTGTCTAATGATTAATATTTTTTGCTTTACTTCTTTGAACAACTCTTTCCCATAACGAGTTTTTCCTGAAATGAAATCAAGTTATCATTAGAATGTGTTCAGAAAACAGAATAATAAAAGACCTAACACTGATACCTATTCCAGGAGCCCCCCAGCCACAAGAATTCTGAAATTTGACTTGGCCTCAGGGATCCCCCTCCCTTCATATTTCTTCGAATTCTCAATATTGTTTTGAATTTTTTCTAAATCGTTAGAAAAGTTGTGGCATTTTAGTGGAATGTCATTGGTTTCATCAATTTCAGAAGATTTCTTTAAAGTATTGAAGTTTGACAAAATCATGTTTTTTCAGGAAGTTAGTATCTTTACTCATATCTCACAAAAATATTAGGAAAAATCAGAACTAATAGTATGCATCCAAAATAAATTGTGGAGGGGCTATTTCAAGAAGGCTGATGTGAAGGAAGAACATAATAAAAATGTGGCTGCAGTTCAGAGCGCACATTGTAATTTTGGCATTAACAACTATAATGTTATTACAGTATTCATATCATCTGCTGATTTCAAGGAAGATATTAGTGGCTATTGTGAAGAACCTCTACCAAACTGCCTTATTATATATCGGCATAACTTTGAAGACTTCTTTGGACATATCCTCAGTTGCCGTGCTGCTATGCAAATTTCTAGAGAACGTAATCCAAATTTTACTCCTCCAGATTGCTGGTTATCAGTTTCAACAAAAATACCACAAGAAATTATAGATAAAGTTTGTGCCAAAAGGCCTTTATGTTCACCACAAGATATGTTTGATGCTGACCCATGGTTTAACAACTACAAGGATGATATTAACAATATGACATATTCATTGTACACTGATGCCATTGACCTTGCAAACTCTAATAAGAAACACCAGCTTAGTTATTATGGTGAATTTCTGCAATTATAGATTCTTATCTGAATGTTAGTTTCTTTTTTTTCTTTTTTTTTTTTGCCATGTAATATTCAAAATGTCTGGGTATCGCTATGTAAAGTTTAATTTAAATTATTATTTGGTTGGGATTGTGAGAATATTTCTGAATTACAAAGTCAATTGGATATTATCATTTATTCAGTCTTGCTAGTGTTAAAAGTTTGGTGGTAATAATAGATTTTTTTTGGAAAACATTTTAATTAAAGGGGATTGCTATTTCTCAACAATGGTGATTATCGCCACAGGTGATGGTCACTGGAATACTAATAAAAAAAATTATTTTTTTGAAGTACACAGTGTATTTCGATTTAGCGAATCTTGATTTAGCAGATTTAGCATAATGGACACTGTTGCAGATCAAATGTGACGAATGTGACATTTAATAATTCAGTCAGGGAGATTTCCAAATTTGGAAATCAATTCTAGAAATTTTGTTGCTCGATTGATATGCACTAAAAATGAGTGTAGCAGAGGTTGGCGGAGTATGTTTTG